ACCTCATGTCAGAAATATAGACAGATACATTATTTAAATGGATACAAATTATTTGAGTAAATACGCTGTTTTTAATTAAACAGTATTAATTACATTTGCCGGACTGAATGTTCGAGAAATTTCGTAGAAAATAAGCTTTCTCCGACAAATAAAAATAACGTTTAGGAACGTTATTTTTAATCGATAACCAACATGAAGACGGTGAGCAGTCGGTCAGGCGTGGTAAAATTTCGTGCTTTTACAGTTTCATATCCAAACGTAAACAAAGAGAATTTTAAAAGGATTTATTTTTTTTATTAATCCTACATATTCTTTATCACTTTGACCGTTATTTTTTTTATATTTTTTTTAGATATTCTTATTTGAGTAGGCGCACCGTTTTGCTTATTAAACAGTATATTTATTCATTTTCGTCTACCGGCTTCAAAGTTCGAGAGATATTCCTACAGGAAGACTTAGGCTCTCCAGCAAGAATTGAACCTGCGTCCCTCGGGGCAGAGGGAGCTTCCATTTAGCTCTGTTCAATTTCTGCAGGTGAGCGTAAAGTTTTCTTTAATATGTTGTGCATGAAATTCCGAGTTGTGATACCAGTTAGTATATATATATATATATATATATATATATATATATATATATATATATATATATATATATATATATATATATATATATATATATGTGTGTGTGTGTGTGTGTGTGTGTGTGTGTGTGTGTGTGTGTGTCTCTGTGTCTGTGTGTGTGTGTCAGAGAGAGAGGAGATGGACTCTCCTGTCGTCTTCGATTCGATGCATAAGGGCCCAGCAGCTTATTCGTTATATACATATATTAGGAAAATTAAATATCAATTTCTCCCATATATATATATATATATATATATATAAAAATATTTGTGAGTTTGTGTGAGAGATAGAGAGGGGACAGACTCTCCTGTCGTCTTCGATTCGATGAATAAGGGCCCAGCAGCTCATTCATTATATACATATATTAGGAAAATTATATATCAATTTCTCCCATATATATATATAGTTGGATTCATTATATATATATATATATATATATATATATATATATATATATATATATATATATATATATATATATATATAAATAAAGAGAGAGAGATTAATTGTTTAGAAATTGCTTTTTTAAGTTTCATTATACAAAGCAAAGCAGATATGATGTTTTTGAGAAAATGATCTGCGTGAAGAGGATGTGCTTTCCTTAAAAAGGGGAAAAGAAAACGCCGCTTGGTGTGATATTCTTCGTCGCCGAGCAACAAGGTACGCAATGGCTACAAAAAGGGACGGATTTTCTTTACTGTTCTCAGTTACGCAGGCTGATAGACGGAATACACGCCGTTAATTGGGGCGTCTATTTCAAATACGAAGTAACCACTACAATAACATTTCTCGTAATAAAAATTCCAGATTAAATCTAAATTAATTATTTACACACCCACACACACACACACATATATATATATATATTAAGAAACGGACAAATCCGACAATTTATTTATTAAAGACATTTTTATGTTTAACGTTCTTTTTTATAGATACAAGTATTTAAGTAAATGCTCTGTTTATAATAAACAGTATTAAATACCATTTACCGGCCTGTTTGAAGTTTATAAGCAGTAAATTCGACCATGCCTACCGAACGCTCCTTTGTGGCCGAGTCGGTTAAGGCACGTCAGCGTAAAAGGAGCGTTCGGTGTATATGAATATTTCTCAGTCCAAGCCTGTAAACATTACTCCTTTCATATATATATATATATATATATAATTATTTATATATTATATGCGCGGTACTTATTAGAAAGCGCTCAATATCAGAGATAAACATCTATCCAACCATATATATATATATATATTTGTGTCTTTTCAACCCTCACAGGGCCTACCTGTTTCTGGGAGAGAGCGTGGTCAACAATTTGAACCAGGCCAGCACGCTCAAGCCCTCGGCCACGATGACTTGTGGCTTCGTCTAGCCAATTTCACTCACAAGGCTTGGCTCAAACCCTGGTATGGTTTTCAGGCACTTTCAAGTCCGATAACATCATGAGTCGGATTCCTGACATGGTGAGATTCGAAACCGGATCTCAAGATCCGAACGCGAAAATGTTTAGACGTTTGTTTACATTCTTAAAAACAATACGCTAAAATTAGCAGTTCTCTCAGCCTTGTTTTGATGGCTTAAGGGTAGATGGTGCCATATCGGTCTGGCTTCGATCCAAGCTCTTTGATATCTCCCTTTCTTCATTTTTACCCTTCTATGGGCAAAAGCATCAATTCTCATTTCTAACCTAATTGGCTGGAAATTGGAGATTAATATTAATTTTATTTTACCTCTATTTCTATCATGATTTCGCTGTCTATTTAATTTCAAAAAATTATTTTAAATATTTATTCGTTATATTATTTGGATTATTTTTCTCTTTAATAACACTTTATAATTAAAAATACAATACAAAAGTTTAAAATATCGCATAGAGACCGGGTTATATACCATTGGATAGCAACTGGTCTACTGCCGAAAGAAATGGCAACATACTACGGCAAAAAGCTGCCTCGTCAGTCATGTATCGAAAGATACATGATCACCTAAGTGTGTATCACACATGGCACATAACTGACTGACTGCTTCTAATTTATACTGTAAAGTTAGTTTTGTTAAGTATAAGTATAATTAATATAACATTGCAATGGTTTAAAATTTGTATAGTATTCTAAATTATATGGTAAAATATGTTTTATTAAATATTGTATGACTCCTTTACATTACATACATATTCTATTCATACGAACCTATCCTAAAAATCTTGTCGGCATTAAATAACATATTGAGGTTGATATGCCGTAAAACAAAATAAACCAAAGAAAACATATTCTATTCATACGAACCTATCCTCTTGTCGGCATTAAATAACCTATTGAGGTTGATATGCCGTAAAACAAAATAAACCAAAGAAAACATATTCTATTCATACGAACCTATCCTAAAAATCTTGTCGGCATTAAATAACCTATTGAGGTTGATATGCCGTAAAACAAAATAAACCAAAGAAAACATATTCTATTCATACGAACCTATTCTAAAAATCTTGTCGGCATTAAATAACCCATTGAGGTTGATATGTCGTAAAACAAAGAAAGCAAATCTGAAAAAGGAAAAATCTTTAAAAACTAACTTCTGATTTAGGCTCCATTTTGTACCACCTTTAGCCTCTGATTTATTCCCTAATCCATTTAATTTGTGGCCCCTTTGCTTGACAATAACTAGAATGTGTTAGTTAATGTGATGCAGACGGTGTTCAAAATTCGACCGAGACGTTTCTGTTCACTTTCTCACCAATGACCTTTGGCTATTTACCTCCGGCTAGGCTTTAAATAGTTGGTTGGATTGGTCACTCAGGTCTTGATTTCTTTGTTTCATTTGAACGACTCATCGATCCTTTGTTGGTTATTTGAAGCTGGAACGTATTTTGGATTCTAGGATCTCGCATTCAATATCAGTAATACATTTTTCAAAAAAATTTTTACTCGCAATAAAGATCTGGTCGGCATTAAATAACCCATAGAGGTTGATATACCGTAAAACAAACCTATCATTGTAGCCTTGTGCCAGACTACGCTAAGATTATTAGAAACTGATGTTTTTAAAGTGTTGAATATTTGCGAGTTTAATGTTTAATGAAATGCTGAAAAATACTTCCAAGTTTGCAGGAGTGTCCAGTAATTCTTGGTTGTTATGTATGTTAACATGTGTTTTACTCAGTAGGTTTTTAATCTGATCTACCCTACGGGAAGCAGGAGAGTACACTGTGTCTCTTACTTTAGATGCAAGCAGTAGCAAGAGAGAACGGGCTCTCCCGTCGGTTTCGACGTATGAGGATCTAACAACTTAACCAATTGATTCAGTTATGAAATTTTATGCGCTAATGTTAAGTCCCACTTAAGACTGGCTAGTGATTTACAAAGGAGACGGCGTATGTAGCAAGAGTGAGGATTGTGGGATGAGATCATTGTTAGATTGGCTGACCTTTTAGATCTAGCTTTCGCTCCTTGAAGACGATTCAGGCAAAAAGATTGAAAACTCTCGTCTCCACTAAAGCACGTTGATCTCCATTCTACCCGCTCCAAGACTAAGTGATCGAGGGTTTTATGAGGTATAACGACATCTGACACACACAAACAAACACACACACACACATATATATATACGTATGTATATATGAAGAAATATAGTTTCAATTTGTGCTATATTTATGGGATAAAGTGCTCAATATCAGAGATATAGCGTATGTAAATATAAATATAAAAGGGAACATTGAAGTCAACACTCAGAGGCTAGACGCAATCGTTAGGCCTCATATATATATATATATATATATATATATATATATATATATATATATATATTGAACATGATTATAGGAGGTCAATACCTGTTTTTCCCGAAGTGGACCTCTCCCATTTAAGTACTGACTGGCTTCGATACTGCTTAACTTTGATGATCGAACAAGAACCTGTGTTTTCAATCTGATTTAAGCGGGGCCTTCTGTTGGGGCCAATCTAAAAGCGAGTCTTTTGCGAATTCTAAACCGTGAAGAAGGCAAAGGGAATACAGCCCAGCATCTTTCCCAAGATTGGCAACGACGTCTCACCATTTTACTGTTGAACTAGAAGGATGCAACCGCAAGTTCTATTCTAATAGTTTCTTCTCTCGCGTTTTTCTCTTTTTTTAATTTCTTGATTCTCTAACACCTATAAACTTCAAAGATCAACATCAGTCACCCTCCTCTGTCATCTCTAACCCTATTGTTATCTCCTCAATCCTCCCCCTCTAAAGACCTCTCATTCCCTTTCACTCCATGTAACCCCCCCCCACGCTGCATCCTAGTTGGCGTTATCACCTTGCTTGGGACGAAAATTTTAAAAAGCCAGGGTAATTCGCAAGTGAATTGAAACTGTGGAGCCATAACCATTGATCTTCTGTAGGGACATGCCATAATAACGCCATATCTATCTATCTATCTATCTATCTATCTATATATATATATAAAGTCATCCACAGAATCGCTATTTTCCAGCTCTTCAGTGTGGCTATACATACAGCTGCCTCTAGCTAGGATAGAAACCCGACTGTCAGTCAAAGATTCAACCACTAAGCCGTCGGCGCACGGCAGCGATTATGGTGAATTTTAGCGTATTTATTTTTAGATAAAAACACACAGTGACCGACAGTGACTCAATTCGCTTTTGCCGAAGAGTCTCGCTATATATATATATATATATATATATATATCGTCATCGACAGACCGATTGTTTCGCTGTATCACAGCTCCTCAGTGGGGCTAGACTTTTGATTGCTTTAACCGGGATCGAAACCCAATGCTTTGACCTCAGTCAGATATCTTACCCTTAGGCTATCGCCGCACTGAGGAAAGGAAGGGAATTTTAACCTTTTTCTCTCTACGAAATACGCCAGCGTCTCGGAGAACTCAATTCGTACTTGAAGAGTAATGCTTAATAGGACTTAGGAGCCGCTGTTTTTTTTTGTTTTTTTTTGTTTTGTTTTTTAATTCCTTTTCCCTAGAGAGGCCAACCGGATTTCCGGGAGCATATATAGTCATAATGTAAATCTATTTAAACTCGGTGGGTGTAAAATCCTGGACAGCACAATTTTCAAATAAATTGGCACCCGAGGAATAAGGGAAAATAAAGAAGGTACCAGAAACTTACGAACAGGGCGAAAGAAATAGTCCAGTACCTTAAATTTCTGGTACAAAGAAAAAAGTTCCAGCGAGTAATAAGCAAAAAAGAAAAGTGCTCAATACGCAAAAGTAGAGCAAAAGTAAAAGAAATAAATCCTAATGAGCCAGATACTACCTACCTAGCTTTCACCGCATGGAATCATCAGGCTGAACTGGCTATTATTATTGTCGTTATGACTATTATTGTCGTTATTGTTATTTTTAGAGAGAGTGTGGCAACACATTTACTAAAATTTCTTTCACCTTCAACAGTGTCTTCGCAGCACCACCCTCAGTTCTTCCTCGAATTCTAATCTCACTCCCAATGTTATTATTATTATTATTTTATTTCCTTTGATTTCTGGTGTGTACTCATTCTAGTCCTGCCCGGATACATAAGATCAGAAATGACATTTTCCACTGAGCAATTAAAAAAAAAAAAACTAAAAAAAAAAACAAAAAAAAAAACAACAAAAAACAATTTAGATAGATAAAGCCCTTCGTAGGGTGTGGACTGTATTCGTGAGAACAATTTTTTTGTATTTCTTTAAGGCATTGGCTTCCAGGAATCCCTTCAATTAGTCTACTGGAATCTTTTTCAATCAATCCGAGTGCTCCAAATACAACTGGAATTGTTGATGTTCTCATGTGCCACATTTTTGAGATTTCGATTTCAAGGTCTTTGTATTTTGACAGCTGTTTGAAGATTTTCAAAGATACATTGCAGTCTGCAGGGACTGTCATATCAATAAGGAGGCAATTTTTTTTCAGGCTCTAATAACGATGTCTGGGCGCTTAGCTTCGATTGTTCTGTCTGTGTGGATTGTGTAGCGCCATAAAATTGTTACAGGGCCTATCTTCGTCTTATTATTATTATTATTATTATTATTATTATTATTGTAAACGTATCCGTATATTATCAGGCTTCCTCTATTTTTAAAAATATTTTTAAATATTCAAAATTAATTTTAAAATGCGCTAGCTCTATTGACTCTTGGACTGAACTCACCATCTTTGGCTAACGAATTTCTAAAGATACAAGACTCCCATTCTTCATCTTAATAGATGTGTTCTAAGCAGTAGCAGTAGCAGTCTTGTCTCCCTTCCTGCCAAAGTGTATTTAACTTTTAGGCATTATGCAAGTTTATTGAAATTTCTCCTCAGGGTGAAATATTCTATTGTTTGCTGAAATGCTGTCACCCAGTTTACTGAGCAAGATCCTGTTTTAACGCGGTGCATTCTTTTTTGGGGACAGGCGTCTTCGCCTTTGTTTTTATTGACACTAGGTTTCGCCCAACGGTTTTCTGTAATTGTAGTTTATATATATATATATATATATATATATATATATATATTATCATTATTATTATATATTATTATTATTATTATTATTGTAAACGTATCCGTATATCATATTTCACCCTGAGGAGAAATTTCAATAAACTTACATAATGCCTAAAGGTTATATATATATATATATATATATATATATATATATATACTTTATATTTCGAGTGATATATTCCCCGGGCTTCCTATAATTTTATAAATATTACACATGAAGTATGTTTTTCATTATTTTTTTTTATCTTTGATTTTCTTAACGCGAAATTTTGGCCAATCGTGTCAATAGTTTTCGACTACGACACACGCACGCACACGCATATATAAGTATGTAACACACACACACACACACTCTCACACACACACACACAGACACACACACACATATATATATATATATATATATATATATATATATATATATGTTAAGAAATGGACGAGGTCCGACAATTTATTTATTAAAGACATTTTATTTATGTTTAACGTTGTTATTTTTATAGATACAAGTATTTAAGCAAATGCTCTGTTTATGATAAACAGTGTTAAATAACATTTACCGGCCTGAATGTCCGAAATTTTCATAGAAAATATTCGTTCATAGACAGGATTCGAACCTGCATCCTATACGGAACCGCCATATACGCTGGCGTGCCTTGACCACTCGGCCACCATATGAACCTTATGGTAGACAAAAATTTACTGTTATAAACTACAATCTTCCATGAATCTCGTACATTCATAACTGCTCTGGCGTATCGAATGTAAACAAATGACGTCATATGTTAAGAAATGGACGAGGTCCGACAATTTATTTATTAAAGACATTTTTATTTATGTTTAACGTTGTTATTTTATAGATACAAGTATTTAAGCAAATGCTCTGTTTATGATAAACAGTATTAAATAACATTTACCGGCCTGAATGTCCGAAAATTTTCAAGAAAATATTCGTTCATAGACAGGATTCGAACCTGCATCCTATACGGAACCGCCATATACGCTGGCGTGCCTTGACCACTCGGCCACCATAACCTTATGGTAGACAAGGTCGAATTTACTGTTATAAACTACAATCTTCCATGATCTCGTACATTCATAACGCTCTGGCGTATCGAATGTAAACAAATGACGTCATATGTTAAGAAATGGACGAGATTGACAATTTATTTATTAAAGACATTTTTATTTATGTTTTAACGTTGTTATTTTATAGATACAAGGCAAGCAAATGCTGAATCTGGTTCATATGTTTCCTATACGATAACATTCAGGCCTTATGGTAACTGGATAAGAGGTTCGAATATTAAAAATTCATAAACGAATATTTTACCGGAAATTTGCCTTGACATTCAGGCCGGTAAATGTTATTTAATTCGTTTATCATAAACAGAGCGATTTGCTTAAATATTTATGAAAATCTATAAAAATAACAACGTTAAAACATAAATAAAAAATGTCTTTAATAAATAAATTGTTAAACCTCGTCCATTTTTAAATTATATGACGTCATTTGTTTACATTCGATACGCCAGAGCAGTTATGAATGTACGAGATTCATGGAAGATTGTAGTTTATAACAGTAAATTTTTGTCTACCATAAGGTTCATGGTGGCAGTGGTCAAGGCACGCCAGCGTATATGGCGGTTCCGTATAGGATGCAGGTTCGAATCCTGTCTATGAACGAATATTTTCTATGAAAATTTCTCGGACATTCAGGCCGGTAAATGTTATTTAATACTGTTTATCATAAACAGAGCATTTGCTTAAATACTTGTATCTATAAAAATAACAACGTTAAACATAAATAAAAAATGTCTTTAATAAATAAATTGTCGGACCTCGTCCATTTCTTAACATATGACGTCATTTGTTTACATTCGATACGCCAGAGCAGTTATGAATGTACGAGATTCATGGAAGATTGTAGTTTATAACAGTAAATTGACCTTGTCTACCATAAGGTTCATGGTGGCCGAGTGGTCAAGGCACGCCAGCGTATATGGCGGTTCCGTATAGGATGCAGGTTCGAATCCTGTCTATGAACGAATATTTTCTATGAAAATTTCTCGGACATTCAGGCCGGTAAATGTTATTTAATACTGTTTATCATAAACAGAGCATTTGCTTAAATACTTGTATCTATAAAAATAACAACGTTAAACATAAATAAAAATGTCTTTAATAAATAAATATATATATATATATATATATACACGGTGTCCCAAAATAATGTATACACACTTTAAATATTAATAGCTAATAATACGTTACCGTGATGTGAGAACTTATATGGATGAAAATATGCAAAACAGATGGATTGGAAGAAGAGGGACAGTTTTATATCCACCTAGATCACCCGATTTGACACCCTTGGATTTCTTTTTGTGGGGGTTTCTAAAAGACAAAGTTTACAGAAGGAAACCTAAAACAATTGCTGAAATGAGAGTAGCAATTGAAGAAGAATGTTCTCAAATACCAGAGGAAATGGTACTGGACGTTTGTAGGTCTATTTCTTCAAGATATGAAAAGTGTATTGAACAGAACGGCAACCAGTTTGAGCACTTGATGTGAACTCATCATTATAGGAACATTCTGCCATTGTTCCAAGTAGCTTTTATCTTATTAAAGTTAATTTTCTTTGTTTTTTGTATATTTTACTCTCAAATTCTTTAAATGTGTATTCTTTCTCTTGTATTAATCTTATTTACAAGTCTAAATACATAAATTGAATAAGTTATAACGATTCAAAGAGTGTATACATTAGTTTGGGACACCCTATATATATATATATATATATATATATATATGTATCTATCAGGGACGTGCCATCAAGGAAGTCAAGGTAGGCAGTGCCTACCGTGAATATAATAGATCAGTAACTACATTTTCCTTCTCTGTCACAACATGAACCTAATCTAATAAAATTATGAAAGACACTCTGATTGTTATGCATAAAATGCAAAATA